AATAGTAAGCATCACCAGCCCAAATCCAGAAAACAACCCGACGACAGCCAGGTACAACCTCCAAGTCCAACATCAGGTAATCAAACCAAGGACATCCCTCAGGTCTTCAATCCAGAGGACATCCACTCAATTGTTAGTTCCAAGAGAGCAAATGGCAAAATCTACTACAGAGTAAAATGGAAGGATCCAGAAAGAGGAAACACATGGGAGTATGGCAGCAGCATTCCAGACTCCATTCGGAGAGAATTTCACCTCAAAAGAAGTATGTCAGGAAAACGACGAAAACGTCCACTGAAGAATCATAAGTTTTTCGACCAAAAGGAATCAGCACAAGACAATAAATCAGTCAATGTTCTGTCAGGGAATACAATGTCAGGAAATGTCAAGCAAGACAACACCAAACCATGCATAGAATTAGATGTCAAACCACATCCGTTTTTTCCCAAACACCTACGAAGAGTAGAACATAAAATAGAAAGAGTTCTGGGCATTGAAATTATTCAAGGAGACTGCTATGTCAAGGTCTCATATAAAGAACATCCTGATACTGTTCACACATGCTATTTTGAAAGTGTTCCTCCCCACCTCATACAGCGCTACCTTGATGATAGCTGGCAGGATCTCCGTAATTGGTCCTGTATAGAAGATAATCCTCGATATGATCCAGAGGAACCACCAATTTATAAATCCAAAAGGGTTATTTTTCGAGATAAAGACTTTGGAACCATCAACACCTTTTACTACCGTATTTCAGCCACAGACTTTAGTCCCCATCTACCATACTATGATAACCTTACCGAACATACCGAACAATGCCAATTGCACATATTCTTGATCAAAATACAAAATCTCCTGAATAAACGGTGCAAATCACGAAACAGCTATTAGCTGTATCTTGTTATGTTTTCTTGTGTCCAGTCTTTTCACTATGGGTCGCCAGTTGAGAACAAATGGCATCAGCCTGATCATCTGAGTTATTTGTATCACAACAAATTTTGAGCATTGACCTGATCAACCAATCTCAAAAGCGAACCCGCACCCAAACCGTACCGAAGTGAAATGACACAAACCAAACCATACTGGGAAGCGAACCCAAAATGTACCGAAGCGAACCCAAACCGTACCGAAGCGAACCAAACCATACTGGGAATCGAACCCAAACCGTACCGAAGCGAACCAAACCATACTGGGAAGCGAACCCAAACCGTACCGAAGCGAACCAAACCATACTGGGAAGCGAACCCAAACCGTACCGAAGCGAACCAAACCATACTGGGAATCGAACCCAAACCGTACCGAAGCGAACCAAACCATACTGGGAATCGAACCCAAACCGTACCGAAGCGAACCAAACCATACTGGGAAGCGAACCCAAACCGTACCGAAGCGAACCAAACCATACTGGGAAGCGAACCCAAACCGTACCGAAGCGAACCAAACCATACTGGGAATCGAACCCAAACCGTACCGAAGCGAACCAAACCATACTGGGAATCGAACCCAAACTGTACCGAAGCGAACCAAACCATACTGGGAATCAAACCCAAACCGTACCGAAGCGAACCAAACCATACTGGGAATCGAACCCAAACTGTCAGAAGCAAAATAAACCAAACCCTATCGCATTGAACCGAAGGAAAATCAAAGCGAAACAAACCAAATTCAAATAAAGCAAACTTAACAACCGAAATGAACCAAAACAAAGAAAAGGCAAACCAAATAGTTACGAAAACTAACAATGATATACACCTTTTGTATACCGTATTAATGTAACAAATCAATGCACTTGTTATATGCACATGCACATATAATGTGTCTAATGTTTGTATCCAAAAGTAGAAGGATATTACTATTTTTTTTTCATGATAAACTTTTGTAATTTGCCGCCAATACATTCTTCCTGGTCATGACACCGTTTAGTAATAATTATGTACTGATCTTTTACATCATAATTATCATATTTGTTTTATTTTCTAGTTATTACAGACAAACTAAGGAAGTATTTATATATGACATATTATTTGAACATGCTAACTCTCTTTTCTTTGTTTCCATGTAACACCTCCATGGACACAGCCTACTACCTTACAACCCCAATCCAGGATGTGGAACTCAAGGCCTCCTACATCACCCATAAAACCACCAGTACAGAGTGCCAAGACAAGCCAGCTCCACATCCAGAACCCCTGATGACAGCATTTTTATATTATGTTTCCTTATGTCAAAGAGACTCTATAATAATCATTATTCACTACTACCAGTTTAACTTTATACATTGTCCATCTAAGCCTTAATTATTTTTATTTTTACACGTTTGGGGTCCAAACTTTTTCAGACGGAGGGGAAGTTATCATGGGATAACATTTATACTAAGTTATCTTATAATAATTAGATCTACATCAAGTGCTTTTATGAGTTATCATGGTGTAATATTTATACATCATTTCATATAATTATAGTTTACCAAGTAATAAATATCATTAGGTAAAATGCATATATAAAATATCAGTAGTTTCAGTTAAAGCTTTTTTAGATGGTTGCTAGCCTAAGGTAATGGGAGCGCGTCTTCTAGACATACTATTCAATAAGACAAGAGTTACGTCTACATAGTTTAATTGATTTGAAGCTTTTAGATAAATGCTAGCCTAAGGTATCAAGATCCCATCTCCCAGACAAAGGATATTTATTTAAGTATATCTGTCATCACCTACCGGGGTATATTAGAATAACATTACTTCAATTAAGACTCATTAAGGATTAGCCCCCATACAAGCTCGTCTATAGTGCATTAAGGATTAGCCCCCATACAAGCTCATCTATAGTGACACCCTAATCTCTTTCAAAGCATCCAGTAAATATGTCAACAAGATTAGTGCCAGTCCAACAGGATAAACAGGATTTAGTATTCCCCTCTGTCTAGCCATCCATTTAGCTTAGGACACAACCAATCGTGTATCATCCAATCACATTCCATTTTATTGTTTAAATTTTTGTTAAATACATACTGTAGGCAGGTTTTAGGGAGAGAAGGGGTTTGACTCTCTTACCAAGCAGACCTCTCTCCCACAGCCCAGAGTGTGTACCGACTCTCTGTGGCACCCTCAGTTATTATCTAAGTATATTGTAAATTGTTAATTGTTCTTGTAAATAAAATTGTGATTAGTCTCCTGTGACTCTGGCTCTTTGCTGACTAATTCCCCAAGAAAACCAGCACGTCATTTGGAAGGTATTGTTCACCCAGAACAGTTCCATGATAATTGATGGGAGGCTGATGCATAACAAGGAATGCAAGAATACAAATCTCATAAAATCTGACAGTCAGCAGATAGTAACTTATCACCTAAAGCTATATATAAGTCCACATTAAAACAATCTTGCTTCTCATCATATAATATAATGCATCATATAATTATTCAGATATTAATTTCCCATCCATTCAAACCAAAATTCACAATTCTACCAAAACATTCCCTCCACTGCTTCCAAACTTGCAGCAGCAGCAACAATGGCATTGTTGACCATCATGACGGGATGCATTATAAGTACAACCTTGGAACTGGAACCGAATTCAGCATCACAAGAAAAGGGGACTTATGTAGGATTGTAGGTTTGGTCAGTGACGAGAAGCAAGACATTATGTTGTTTGGCCTTATACTCTAACCATAACACATACACAGTATATTCTGTTGTTCACAAATATGAAACAAAACAGACATAAATGCTCAAAATTCAAAAGAAAGTTACATAGCATTTACCTAGTTTTAGTTTTTATTATAACATAGAGCCTTCATAGTCTGAGCAATGATAAAAGGGGCATAACTCTTACACTTCTCAATTATAACACTTCATTTAAAAATGTCATAAATCTTGATGGTAAACAATCTTGCATTCTGCAGATTTTCTCAATTCTCTAATTATTATGATATTTAGCATATTGCACGGGAACCATTGTAGATAGTAGGACTTCAAATAACAGTTTTTAAAAAGCAAATTTTTTATCCATTAAGGTGGATCTGGGTGGTGATGGTTAATTGTGAGTCACAAATTGTGTTTGTTGTTTAAAGGTGCACTTATGAATATTCCAGCTATATGATGGCATCCTGTAAATCAGAGATTGATATTTATGAGCAGTAAATAATTTAGCTTGACCAGTCAAATAAACACAAATGACCCATTGGCGGAAGCCTCTATTCTTTACTGTGCTTTCATTTTCTGTTTATCAAAGCTATCAATAACATTGTAGGGCAAATTGCAAGTGAGACCAATTATAAGACAGATTCTATTTTCAGTCACTAATTTGTTGTTTCACTTTTACTTGAAGCAGTATTTGATTTCACGTTATTCAGAACTTCATGGTTATATTACACTTTCACGATCAAATTCAGACCAATCTTTACAATAATGTCCTCGAGTTATTTTAAAATATCAGTAAAATCCATCAGCATCCTCATTAAGCACTTCCTTGAGAATTGACAGGAAGTCCCTGGTGCCTCCAAGGATTCGACTAAACCAATAGTCAGATATACTATGAATACTGTATTGATTTCCATTACAATATGTTTTACATTATATTTTGCAAGTTATAGGTGACGTAAGTTTTAGGTTCCTTCAGCACTAAATGATAGCATATTAGGGTACCACTCTCGAGTAAATTGTTTCTTTGTTGTTTAACACAACACAGCAATATTCCAGCTATATGAAGGCAGCCTGTAAATAATCAAATCTGGACCAGACAATCCAGTGACTGAAATTGTGAGCATTGATCCACACCATACGATGACACACAATCAACCAAGTCACCGAGTCTGACCACATGTTTAATTTGGTCGCCTCTTCTGACCAGCATAGGCTGCGAGAGACCAATTCTAACCCGAAATCTCCATTGAGTTCATGAGTACATGTCACACAACACAACATATTTTGTTTATAAATACTGCAAATATTGCACAATTAAGACTAGCTAAACAATACTTGTAAGTATGGCAAAGAAACATGGTTACCTTTAGGCTTGTTTCCTGGGACCAGGTCAGCCGGCACACAATTGAAGCTGTCGTCCCGATGGTAGTCCTGCTCACACTTACAAAGCCCCATGCGAGACTTGGAGCCCTCCCGCAGTACACACTCCTCGTGTTCATGCTTACATTCGCCCACGATCCCGAACTCACATGTTTGCTGATGCACTGGTGGTGGCGTTGTGCTGCTGCTGCTGCTGCTGCTGCTGGTGGTGGTGGTGCTGCTGCTGCTGGTGTACTCTGAAAAAAAGGAGTTAATAGTTAATACCTCAGTCTACAATGAGGGAACTTTTTACGCCTTAACAATATTTGAGCAATATCACAGCTGAGGAAACAAAAAAATTCATGATACATTCATGAATACATTTCGGTTTTCGGTGTGATGAGCAAACACCTTAAAAACTGGGCTACCTAAATTCCCATTCTTCAGTCTACAAGTTCTGAAAGCCAAAATCCGAAAAGACTTCTTTTGGGCTTATACAATGTCAGAGGCACACCTAATAATAGTCCTTATCATACATCCATGTCAAAATGCTGAGATCTGATTGGTCCACGTGATCGTGATAAAGTACTATGTACCCCGCCTTGGAGGGGAATAAATTTCTCAGCCGGGGAACAAATCTCTTATACCCCGCCCTGAGCAAGTTAGGCTGCACATGGATTTCTGAGAGGCAGACTAAATCTCTTATGCCCCGCTTCAAAGTAAAAAGTCACATGCTTTTTTCAAGTCAATGGAAGTCACGTCACATAGCACAAGCTAACCTCAGCTCAAGCGAACAGCTGTTTTCTATCAATTTCGAATTTGTTTGAATTCTTTTACATTGTCACTGTAAAACATGTTGGTAAGAAAAAATTGTTGTAGCAGGATCACGAGGGGTATAAAACCTAACGTGGGAGGCATAAAACCCCATGTACCCCTCGTGATCCTGCTACAACATATGATATTTTGTTGCCACAACATTCTTCTAAAAGGCAGGATGAAATCTTTGGTACAAGTTGATACTTGGTTAGAAGTAAACTTAATTACTAAATAAATAACTTTCAATTTGTGTGAGTTTATTGGAGTGAACCAGGAGTGAGCCAAGAGTGGACAAAGAGTGAACCAGGAGTGAGCCAAGAGTGGACCAGGAGTGAGCCAGGAGTGAGCCAGGAGTGAACAAAGAGTGAGCCAAGAGTGGACAAAGAGTGGACCAAGAGTGGACAAAGAGTGGACAAAGAGTGTTCAAAGAGTGAGCCAAGAGTGGACAAAGAGTGAGCCAAGAGTGGACAAAGAGTGGACCAAGAGTGGACAAAGAGTGTTCAAAGAGTGGACAAAGAGTGGACAAAGAGTGTTCAAAGAGTGGACAAAGAGTGAACAAAGAGTGGACAAAGAGTGAGCCAAGAGTGAACAAAGAGTGGACAAAGAGTGAGCCAAGAGTGGACAAAGAGTGAGCCAAGAGTGGACAAAGAGTGGACAAAGAGTGAACAAAGAGTGGACCAAGAGTGGACAAAGAGTGGACCAAGAGTGGACAAAGAGTGGACCAAGAGTGTTCAAAGAGTGAGCCAAGAGTGGACAAAGAGTGAGCCAAGAGTGGACAACGAGTGGACCAAGAGTGGACAAAGAGTGGACAAAGAGTGGACCAAGAGTGGACCAAGAGTGGACAAAGAGTGGACAAAGAGTGAACAAAGAGTGGACAAAGGGTGAGCCAAGAGTGGACAAAGAGTGAACAAAGAGTGGACAAAGAGTGAGCCAAGAGTGGACAAAGAGTGGACCAAGAGTGGACAAAGAGTGGACAAAGAGTGAACAAAGAGTGGACAAAGAGTGAGCCAAGAGTGGACAAAGAGTGGACCAAGAGCGTTCAAAGAGTGAGCCAAGAGTGGACAAAGAGTGAGCCAAGAGTGGACAAAGAGTGGACCAAGAGTGGACAAAGAGTGAACAAAGAGTGAGCCAGGAGTGAGCCAGGAGTGAGCCAAGAGTGGACCAAGAGTGAACAAAGAGTGAGCCAGGAGTGAGCCAGGAGTGAGCCAAGAGTGGACCAAGAGTGAACAAAGAGTGAGCCAGGAGTGGACAAAGAGTGAGCCAAGAGTGGACAAAGAGTGGACCAAGAGTGTTCAAAGAGTGGACCAAGAGTGAACAAAGAGTGAGCCAGGAGTGAGCCAGGAGTGAACAAAGAGTGAGCCAAGAGTGGACAAAGAGTGGACCAAGAGTGTTCAAAGAGTGGACCAAGAGTGAACAAAGAGTGAGCCAAGAGTGGACAAAGAGTGGACCAAGGGTGAACAAAGAGTGAGCCAAGAGTGGACAAAGAGTGAACAAAGAGTGAGCCAGGAGTGGATCAAGAGTGAACAAAGAGTGAGCCAGGAGTGAGCCAGGAGTGAGCCAGGAGTGAGCCAAGAGTGGACAAAGAGTGAACAAAGAGTGAGCCAGGAGCGGATCAAGAGTGAACAAAGAGTGAGCCAGGAGTGAGCCAGGAGTGAGCCAGGAGTGAGCCAAGAGTGGACAAAGAGTGAACAAAGAGTGAGCCATGAGTGAGTCAGGAGTGAACAAAGAGTGAGCCAGGAGTGAGCCAGGAATGGACCAAGAGTGAACAAAGAGTGAGCCAGGAGCGGATCAAGAGTGAACAAAGAGTGAGCCAGGAGCGGATCAAGAGTGAACAAAGAGTGAGCCAGGAGTGAGCCAGGAGTGAGCCAGGAGTGGACCAAGAGTGAACAAAGAGTGAGCCAGGAGTGGACCAAGAGTGAACAAAGATTGAGCCAGGAGTGAGCCAGGAGTGAGCCAAGAGTGGACCAAGAGTGAGCCAGGAGTGAGCCAGGAATGGACCAAGAGTGAACAAAGAGTGAGCCAGGAGCGGATCAAGAGTGAACAAAGAGTGAGCCAGGAGCGGATCAAGAGTGAACAAAGAGTGAGCCAGGAGTGAGCCAGGAGTGGACCAAGAGTGAACAAAGAGTGAGCCAGGAGTGGACCAAGAGTGAACAAAGATTGAGCCAGGAGTGAGCCAGGAGTGAGCCAAGAGTGAACAAGGAGTGAGCCAGGAGTGAGCCAGGAGTGACCCAGGAGTGAAGGGTGAGGGCCAAACTGTATGCCCATCCTGTCCATTTGAACACCATGTCCAGTAGGTAACGGGGTTAGTATGTCAACAGAGACATGCTATGAGATTATTACTATGATGACATCATCTCTACATTGTAACAATGACGTCTGTACTGCCAATAAGGAGTTTGGTTAACAAAGAAACTTGGTTCAATGATGGAAATCATCATTATATATGTGCTGTCTCTTTAACTTGCTTATATCTTGAGACAAACATTTCATTCACGCATAACAGATAACAGCAGTAGAAACTAACATGTTTAGTCTACTAGTCCCCATAATGATAACATAGAGCAAAACCCTTAAAAATGGGAAATTTCTACTAGTCCTTATGATACCTTAACTATTGGGCAGTTTGGCCAGGACTACAGGACTAGTACCAATTTCTAACGCTGGATAATCCCTCATCCCCTATTGGCTATCCTCTACATTCTCTCCAGCCCAAGTACCTATTAATTGTTGGCCTTATACACCACAGCAGTATTTTCCATTTACACAACTCTGTTTATCTCAAAAACAAAGAAGAACCAACCAAAAGCAATGCCTTGTTCAAGTTGGTTTACTTGACTGAATCACAAAAACCAATATCTGGACCTCGCTGAAATCGGCCATGTTATATATATTATGCGGCCTGTAAAAATCAAGTCAGGATCAGACACTCCATTTGTTGAGCAACAATCCACGCCATCAGGAGACCGTGACATGTTATCACCAAAGTCACCAAGTCCGACCACCTGATCCATTCAGTCGCTGTTTATGACCAGCATAGGTTCCTGAGCACCAATCCTAACCCGGTATCCCCCGGAGAACTAACCATTCACTACAGTAAATCACCTAGTTTCTGTGTCAACAGGTGGCATCTCTCTTCTCTTCCAAAGCTGGTGGACAACAACACATGGGTCCCCAAGAATAATTTGCTGTCTTTCATTATCGCAGATGAAATATGTTTTCATCAATCCAGTTCGTTTTAATGAACGTGTGTTTACCAAAAGAAATCAAACGGCAATAAAAGATTATACAAGACAAGGTTTCACATCAACAGACCATCCATTTTAATGTGATCCTCTATTTTCTCTATTAATACCTAACACTAGTCACAGGTGCAATAACTGAAGGAGACCAATAATGCAGCAGCGAAACTCTCAGCTTCTGTCCCAGCATGCAATACTAGGGGGTTAACGTGGGGATCAACAGCATCAGATTCATCTGCCTGTATCTGCAACGTGTGGCACTGATGGACTTTGAAACCAAAATTACTGAATACAAATTCTGTTCTGTTCTAGATCCATCACAATCCTGTTTACAGAAGAAAAGGAATAAAAACTGAATTGAAAAGATATGCATGAAAAAAACTTTCTAAAATCAAGAAAACAAATCGTCAAACAAGGAGAACGTATCAAGCAAAACAGCTTATACATACGTCAGCGGAAAAAAAGTAAAGATTCTTCAGGGACATGTGGAAAAATGGGATTAGCCAACGACAGAAAAGAGGAAATTCTACTGAAAATGAAAAAGGCAATATAGTCACTGACAACGAACAAATTTTACAGCATTAGAAAACTCCTACACATCTGATACTCCACACTCAACGTTTGATGACGATTTCCACCAAGATGTTATTGATCAGCTACCATGACAGAAAGAGCTGGAGTGAGATGTAAACATTTCTCATGTTTCTAAACTGAATACATGTAATCCGATACCATTCACAGAAGTGGAGACAGCTGTTTTGCAACAACGAAGGAACAAAGCTATTGCTACAGGTATTGATAACATTTCCCCTGACTACTGCAAAAAAAACAGTATACACCTGTTGCACCAGATCAAAGCATACCATCCTATAGGGCTGGGACGAATCCAAATTTACTACCCGGCTACCCGACCCTACACAGGTACCCACTGTAGGTCTCAAGAGTTGAGAACACAATGTCTAATTGGGAATAGTTTAACTGTAGCCCTGGCAAAAGTTGCTTAGATACATGTATGAAACCAGAGACTATATAAAAGATATATGGTCTTTTATGAAATGATCAAATCATGCGTACACTGAAGTTGACTGAAGCTTTATCTTTTTTCAAACATATACAAGTCAAAAGGAATGTTTGCATCATCATAAAAAAATGCTAACATAAGTGACTTGTAGTGTAACCACTGAGCTCTAGTGAGTTTTTGTCATTAAACAATATGTCACGTGACAACCACGGGTCCGGGTAGTACTGTGGGTACCCAGGTCCTACTCATGACCCACCCGACCCGAGTACCCAAGTTTCCCGTCCCAGCCCTACCATCTTAATAACACTGTATTGCCAAGGAAAAGGAGTGACAGACTCATCCGACTCTTTTGACCCACTGAGACACAGAGGCATGACTCTGCTGTTGATACCCAGTAAAGCGTACACAGACATTCTTAATCGTAGAGTAGAGTCATGGGTTGAAAGTTAAAAAGAAACTTAGGCCTAATGGTTAAAGCGTTCGCTTGTTACGAGGAAGACCCGGGTTTGATTCCTGACATGGGTACAATATGTGAAGACCATTTCTGGTGTCCCCCGCCGTGATATTGCTGGAATATTGCTAAAAGCGGCGTAAAACCTCACTCACTCACTCACTAATAAGAAACTGGCTAATGAACAAAGGGGGTTTGGATGTGCAACTTCATTGACCACATTCATTCCTTGTGCAATATTATTAATACAAGAAAATAACCCGAAAAAACAACATTCAGGTTTAAGAGGTCTCTTGAAAGACTTTACCAGTTTGGATAGTGTACATTTTATTGCATAAATAACATGTTATATTTTTAAGTTGTATAATACATGACACTGTAATAAAAAATCTCCAATCTCATAAATCTTATCTGTTATCGTAAAGACAATAAACCTCCATACTCCCCAGTTATTTTTATGCTCAAAGTTAAAAAGAGCAAAGTGAACAATATGTGAGAATTGTGGTTACGCTACACTGGGTCTACCCCTAATCTAGAGAATTACACAGTGGTAGAATAAAGAACTCCCTACCTCAAGGGTTGAAACTGATTGTGAAGATTTGACTACCCGGTACATAAAAAGCAGACAGTGCTGAATGTTGTTGAAGGTTTGGTTTTGCATAGACATGGTAGGAAAAGAACCATTTTAATTATTTTAAACAGACCTCAATAAACATGTTCATGAGCAAACAAAACACTGGTTCATATCTGACCTGTATTATACATGGTATAACTCATTTGTATGATGTATTACATTACTTATGTCATGCTGATCCTGTAAATCACGCTAACACAAAATCTGAATTTCCTCTCTCATGTCAAAACACTGCAGATGCCCAGTAAGCGTAAATATATATAAGGGGCATAACTCTGCATCACTTGAATGTAGGCCATTGCAATTCTGTTGATGTTGCGTAATTCAATAAGGATTCCAGCAATATACATCTATCATGTCTGTGTTGTGTTTTATTCACGAGCTTCCAAACTGTTATGGCAGAAATATCAATAATGAAACAACATTCTCTTATATTTTGTCATAACTCATAAGAAATGATGCAATTATATGACCACAAAAAATAATAATTGAAAGATGGATGGACCAAGGATTCACATAACATAGAGGTCCTGTTTAATTGACACACTTTTTATACATATTACGCCTAAGGATATTTTTTCTGTCACTTGTAGTGCCTACAAAATCCCCCAAAGGACTGGCAACCTTGGTTTCAACGAACAGAATGTTCACGATGTTGACAATAAAGTGCATTTCTAATCTCTTCAAGGCTGAAATAGAAACATTTTAGTTGAAGTTATTTTCATATCAATATCTTGTAGACTAAGAACTCATGTAACACATGTGCTCTGAAAATTGAGGTTATCTCAAACTCGGCAGTGAAGCCACTGGCCAGTGTCAATGGCCTAGAAAAAAACCTAATGAGGCAATGTAACAGATCATTTCTCACTGACATTCCCACTCTGGACCGAATAGGAAAGCATGAAAGCTTAAATACAATACACACTTTTTGTAATGTTGTTTGTATGTTTGCTGTTTAATTCAGCACTCAGAATATTCCAGCTATATGATGGCAGTCTGTATATAATTGACTCTGGACCAGACAATCCAGTGATTATTATGTGCATCAATCCATGCAATTGGGATACGATGACATGCATCAACTAAGTCAGCAAGCCTGACCACCCGATCCCGTTAGTTGCCCCTTACGACAAGCAAGAGTTGCTGAAGACCTATTCTAACCCAGATCTTCATGGGTACTGGTACTGGGTCCAAATGTTGTGACAATTAAATATGTAAATATCACTGAAATTCAAAACAAATTGTTTTTGACGATAGAATCTTTTGATAAATCAGTTCAAGAAAATATTAAAGATGCAATATCAGGTTTAAAGAAAGTTTCCAAAAGAAATATTTTGGTACCCACTGAAGCTCTTCTTGTTGTCATAACAGAATTACCTGTAATTCAATGCCAATCTAATTTTAGCTGATACCTGTAAAGGGAATACTCTGTTACTTCTGACAAGTAAAACTACCATATATCAAAATTTGATTTTCAAATTCCAGTAGCAAATAATTTACTTGAAATGTAAGACCTTGCGCCTTTAAAGCAGCTATGCACACTGCCCATCTGAAAACTCCATTAGCATGAGATCGAACAAAAAGACTTCAAAAGCCAAGCATATCACCAAAATTGAAAACAGTCATAACACAGTTACACTGACAGATGGGGCCGCTGGTCATAAATCAGCTCGGTTCTACATGTTCCCATTCAGCCCAAAGGATGCTGTAACAGTGGTGCAGGGTTGGACAACAGGTCTTATTGATTATG